TGTTCTTCAAACCATTGTTATGGCTCGCTTTGCCACTAACCCCAACCCAAAGAAACGGCCTCCAATCAGTCACATAGCTGCATTGCTTCGGGGAATCTGGGTTGAAATGGGTTGCTGATAAAAGATAATGGTCCTGATGAGTTACTTTGTAAATTGCACCAAGTGTGTATGTCTATCTGAGTGTATATGTGTTTGTTTATGTTTTGCTACAAAGTGAGTGTTTGGAATGTTAACTTTATCTTATGAGGGCCTGACGATTTGAAAGACTTTTCTCCTACCACTATCGATCCTTGAACCACCTTGCGCGTAAAGAAATTAACGCCCTCGAAAATCTGCACCACCACACAATCCACCCCCACGCACTGCTGTTGAGCCACACACTAACTCCTCGGCTCCAACTCCCGCCACTCTCACAATCGAATGTGTGAGCAGGGGTTTCAGCCTCCCATCTCAAACTTCGCGACTCCCATCATGATATTTGCTTTTCCCACCCCATCAGAAGGAACTCCTGTCAAATTATATATATATGCTTGTTTAGGTTATCTAGGCTGTAAGGGGGTTAGCACTAGGGGGTACACAAACTTTCTCGATACCCTAGTCTTGTACCCTAGCCTTCACCTAATTCACTCATTCTTGCCTTAGGTTCTTAACATGGTAACTAGAGCAGGAGGTCTCTAGGACCTACGAATCGGGCCCACCTAACTGCCTGCCTTGCCTACTGCTCGCGCGCGCCTCGGCGGCAGCGCACGTCACTTATTTTTTCTCGCGCGCGCCTCAGTTTCTTGCGCGCGCGTCTCTGATTTTTACCGCGCGCCACTGCTGCAGAGCCGCGCGCCGGTCCGCGTCGCCCGCGTAGCCCACCTAGAGCCCGCGCGCCCCTTACACCGCCCGCGCGCAGCCTAAGCAGAGCCCGCCGCCCGCGTGCGACGTAGAGCCCGCCGCCCGCGCGCGCGCTGCTTGTCGCCACGTGCAGCAAGGAGTCGCGCGCAGCACGTAGCCACGCGCAGCAGAGAGCCACGCGCGGCCCTTAGCCGCACGCAGCCAGCAGTCGTGCACGCCCTACTTGTGTACTTGCCTGTGAGGCTCACTGCTGCCGAACCCACTGCCTTCAAACTGTACGGCCTGCCACTGTCTAGAGCCCCACCTTAGGAGCTCGGGTGCAGCAAGCTACTGCCCTGCACGTTGCCTGTACTGCCTACTGCCTACTGCCTCTGTCTTAGCCTGCTGTCTACTGCCTACTGCCTCGTGTCTACTGCCTGCCTGCTTTCTGCTGCCTTTGCCTACTGCTGTTATGACGACGCCTAATGTTCTCGCGTTCGAGCCCGACGGTCGCCCCATAGAGTTCACTGTGTGGCTAGACGACCTGCAACTGTTCCTTCTGACCGATGCCAAAGAGGGCGTTTCACTATTTGATTACGTGTCTGGCACTGCCGTTGCTCCTGCTGCTGATGCTCCTGCTCTCGAACGCTCGCAGTGGCAGACTCGCGATGCTGATGCACGCCTAGCTATTAGGAACCATCTGCCGATCACTGAGCACGCGCATTTAAGCCAGCACAAAACTGCTAAGAAGCTGTACGACGCTGTAGTTGCGCGCTACTCCTCCTCGGCCACTGCAGCCATAGGTCGACTCATGCTACCCTACCTGTTCCCCGACCTTTCCTCGTTCACCACTGCTGAGGACCTCATTTCTCACCTCCGCGCTACAGACACTCGCTTTTGTGCCGCCCTCTCAGCCGAGTTCTGCGCCGCAAACCCCCTCCCCCCCCCCCCCGATGTACTTCACTCTCTATTTCCTCGTTACACGCCTCCCTGACACTCTTAGCTCGGTCAGGGACCACTTCCTAGCGCTAGACCCCCCCACTCTCACTGTCAACGACTTCGAGAAGCACCTCCTTGCAGCAGAGAAGAACATCCTCGCTGTAGGTGCTGCTTGTGGCACTCCTCGCTCTCCCCTCTTTGAGGGGTGCTCCCCCTCCCCTCTCACCCCCTCCTACGCCTCCGCAGCTGCTGCTCACAACTACCTTGGTGCTGAGGAGGTCGGGGCTGCTTCCGCTCCTAGTGGGAAGCGTCGCAGTGGCAGGGGCGGCAAGGGTGGCAGGGCAGGTGGGGGCGGCGGTGGAGGTGGCGGTGGTGCAGGCGGCGGGGGCGGTGGAGGTGGTGGGGGTGGTCGTGGGGGTGGAGGGGGTGGAGGTGGTGGTGGGGGCGGCGGAGGCACTGGGGGCGGTGGAGGGGGCAGCAGCGGCGGTGGGGGAGGAAGGAGCAGTGGTGGCAGTGGTGGTCAGGGCCAGCAGCAGCCGCCGCAGCAGCAGCAGCAGCAGCAGCAGCGTCAACGCCAGACCCCCACTTCCCAGCAGCTTCTTGACTGGTATGCCGGGCATGGGGCTTCTAGGGGTCCTAGTCGCTGCCCCTATATCATCAGCACAGGTCCCAGCGCTAATCGCCAGTGCACAGGGTTTCACACTGAGCAGCGCTGCTTCGCTCGACTTAGCGACGCCTGGCGCGCCAAGTTTCCTGATGCTACTGAGTTCCCCAACTGGGCAGACTTGCTTAGGCGTGATGTACCAATCTTTGATCTTGATTATGAGGCTATTCTAGCTGCTATGTATGCATTGTGTGTTAGTGCTGAGGGTGACTGCTACTTGTGTGTGCCGCTAGATCCTGGTATAGCCCCTGGTATAGCCCCTGCTGCACTAGGTGCTTGTGAGTCTGCTCCCGTTGTAACTGCGCCTGCACAGGCCTTGCACACCTTTACACTTGACACTGGTGCTTCCCGCTGTTTCTTTCGCGACAGTACCACAGTCACTCCCCTTCCTGCACCTGTTCCTGTCTCACTGGCTGACCCCTCTGGGGGCCCAGTGCTTGCACGTTCTTCCACTGTGCTTCCTTGTCCGGCGGTCCCGTGTGGTGAGCTGTCTGGTCTCCACCTCCCCTCGTTCTCTACGAACTTGGTGAGCAACGCTGTCCTCCAGGATGAGGGTGTTGACACCTTCACCCCTGGCCGACAGCGTGTGGCGATTTGCACGTGCTCCCAGACCGGCCGCCACCTGGCCACGTTCACCCGTGCGCCAGGGTCCAGTCTGTACACCCTCATCACTGAGTCCCGCTTCACCCCTTTGTCTCCCCAGCTGCACGCGTCTGCTCACGTAGCTACCCAGTGTGAGTGTTGTCGGCTGTCTCACGACACCCTCCCGTGGCACCACCGCCTGGGACACACCTCCCTGCCTCGCCTTCGTAGCATGCACTCTCGCGTTCTGGTTTCTGGTCTTCCCAGGTCTCTGCCTGCCCTCCCTCCCTCGCCTGCGCTGCCCTGCATTCCTTGCGTCGAGGGGCGGCAGCGCGGTGCTCCTCACTCCTCCTCGTTCCCTCCCACAGAGGCTCCACTTCAGACTCTCCACCTGGACGTGTGGGGCCCAGCCCGCGTCCGTGGACAGGGCCACGAGCGGTACTTCCTGCTGGTTGTCGACGACTACACGCGCTACACTACGGTCTTCCCCTTGCAGCGCAAGGGGGATGTCCCTGATGTTTTGATCCCCTGGATCTGCGCTACTCGTCTCCAGCTCCGCGAGCGGTTCCAGTCGGACTTTCCTGTCCTGCGTCTGCACTCTGACAGAGGTGGTGAGTTCTCCTCAGACCTCTTGGCGGCCTTCTGTGCGGAGCACGGCATCCGCCAGACTTTCACGCTTCCGGCCTCTCCGCAGCAGAATGGGGTTGCTGAGCGCCGCAATGGCTTAGTCATGGAGGTCGCTCATACCTCCATGATCCATGTGGCTGCCTCCCATTTTCTGTGGTCGTTTGCGGTTTGGTACGCCGCGCATCAGCTCAACCTTTGGCCCCGTGTCTCCTTGCCGGAGACCTCGCCCACACTGCTGTGGACGGGGAAGGTTGGCGACGCGTCGCGTTTCTGGGTCTGGGGTGCTCGTGCCTTTGTTCGCAATACCACCGCGGACAAGCTCTCCCCTCGCACCGTTCCTTGCGTCTTCCTTGGCTTCGTCCCTGACGCGCCTGGCTGGCAGTTTTACGATCCCGCCTCGCGCCGTGTCTTTGCGTCCCAGGACGTCACCATTGACGAGTCAGTCCCCTTTTACCGCCTCTTCCCCTACCGCACTGCTCCTCGCCCTCTCCCGCCGCTCTTTCTTGCCCCAGGTCCTCCCCAGGTAAACCCCCTCCCCGCGCCAGGTCCTGCTCCTTCAGGTGTTTCTCAGGTAGACCCTCCCGTCCCTGCGCCTGTAAAGGTCACTAGTGAATCCGGTCCTGCTGGTGGCGGTGCTGTCCCTGGGGGTGCGGAGCTTGGGGGTTTGCAGCGTGGGGGTGCTGAGTCTGGGGACACTGGGCATGAGGGGCCTGAAGGTACGGAGCCTGGGGGTGCTGAGCCTGCGCGTGAGGAGCCTGGAGGTCCTGCGTCTGGGGGTGCTGAGTCTGGGGGTGCTGAGCCTGCGTGTGCGGAGCCTGGGGGTGCTGAGTCTAGGGGTGAGTCGCCCGAGGGTCCTGAGACTGCTGTTACGCGGTCTCCTTGGAGTAGCCGTCTTTGTCCGCGTGTGCCTCTCACCTCCCAGCAGCTGCACGACTGGTACAGTCGCCGTCAGCGTCGCACTTCTGCACCTCAGGGCTCTAGTGCTGGGGGTTCTTCTGCTGGCGTCACTGGAGCTAGGAGTGGTGCTGGTCCTTTGCCTGCTGGAGGTGTTAGTGTCGCTGGTCCCGGAGGTGCTCGTACTGGGAGTACTGGAGCTGCTGGGGCTGACGGTGGCGTGTCTGAGGGTGCTGCTGCTGGTGGCACTACGGTTGGAGACCCTGGGACTGGAGGTGCCGGTTCTGGGGGTACTGCACCAGGTTGGGCTAGTGCTGAGGGTTCTTGAGCTGCTGGTGGTGCTGGTGGCACTGCACAGCCACGCCTGTTCTTTGCTCCGCCGTCTCCGTCGTCTCTGCCCCCGCCTGGCTCCGTGCTTTGCCAGGTTCTTAGCCTTTTGTCGTCTACTGGTCTTCCGTTACAGCCTGGCTCACCCATGCCTGCTCCTTCTCCTTACACTGAGCAGACAGGGGGCCTTGGTGAGCGTCGTGAGCCTGCGTCGCGTCCTCTCTCACCTGTCCTTTCTGGTCGTTCCAGTCGTCGTGTTCCTCGTCAGCGTCAGCCGGCTGTCCCCGGCCCTTCCCTTGTCGTCCGTCGTCCTTCCTCTCCGCCGCCACGTGTTCCCTTGCCGTCTCCGCCTGTGTCCTCTCTACCTGTCGTTGCTGACACTGAGTCTGACCGGTTTCGTGCTGCACACCCTACTGTCACGCGTCTGCTAGCCAGTGTTGTCGCTGACCCTTCCTTTGAGTCTGCTGCTGCATCTGCCTTAGTCGCTGAGCTTGTCGACTTTGCTGCTCACTATCGTCTAGACTACGCCGCTAGTCTTGTTGCTGAGTCTGAGTCTGTCTGTCCTCCGTCCGTCAGGGGTGAGTGTGCTCTTGGCACGGACGTCCTCGAGGACAGGCAGGAGGACCTTGAGTGTCGTGCAGCCGCTGCGCCTCATCTCGTGTCCATGCTGCTTGCCCCTGAGGGAGACCTGGATGCACCAGACATCCCGACTCCACGATCGTACGCTGAGGCGATCGAGGGTCCCTACTCCTCTCAGTGGCAGACAACCATGGACGCAGAGATGGCATCCTGGAAGTCCACAGGCACCTACGTCGACGAGATTCCCCCTCCTGGGGTGAACATCGTTAGTGGCATGTGGATTTTCAGGGTGAAGCGGCCGCCGGGTTCTCCACCTGTCTTCAAGGCTCGTTACGTTGCTCGGGGCTTCAGTCAGCGAGAGGGAGTTGACTTCTTCCAGACCTTCTCCCGCACCCCGAAGATGACTACTCTTCGGGTGTTGCTGCACGTTGCCGCTCAGCGTAACTACGAGCTTCACTCTCTTGACTTCAGCACAGCTTTCCTGCAGGGCAGCCTGCACGAGGAGATCTGGCTGCGCCGTCCACCTAGCTTCACTGGGTCGTTCCCTCCTGGTACCCAGTGGAGCCTCCGACGGCCAGCCTACGGACTCCGCCAGGCGCCACGTGAGTGGCACGACACACTGAGGACGACTCTTGTGGCTCTTGGGTTTGCCTCGTCGACTGCTGACCCGTCGCTCTTTCTGCGCACCGACACTTCGCTCTCGCCGTTCTACATCCTAGTGTACGTCGACGACTTGGTCTTTGCCACTGCTGACACTGAGGCTCTCGCCCTGGTGAAGTCGGAGCTGCAGAAGAGACACATGTGCACAGACCTGGGTGAGCTGCGCAGCTACCTTGGCCTGCAGATCACCCGGGACAGAGCACGCCGCACCATCACACTGACTCAGTCACACATGGTGCAGCAGGTCCTTCAGCGCTTCGGCTTCACTTGGTCCTCAGCACAGGCCACTCCTCTGGCTACATGTCACTTGCTCTCAGCTCGACCTTCAAACGAGTCCGTAGAGCTGAGTGGTCCTTACCCAGAGCTAGTGGGCTGCTTCATGTACCTGATGACCTGCACTCGTCCTGACCTTTCGTACCCTCTTGGCCTTCTGGCTCTCTACGTGGCTCCTGGTCGGCACCAAAAGGTGCACATGGATGCTGCTAAGAGGGTACTACGCTACTTGTGCAGTACATCGGGCATGGGGCTCGTGCTTGGAGGACGGGGTGACGTTGTCCTCACTGCTCACTCGGACGCCTCTTGGGTAAAGGACCAGGCTACGCAGCGGTCGTCATAGAGTTACACCTTCAGCCTTGGTTCTGGTTCAGTTTCCTGGCGTTCTACACGTTCGTCGTCAGTTCTCGGCTCCAGCTGTGAGGTCAAGATCTATGCCAAAGCCATGGCTACACAGGAGCTACGCTGGCTCACCTACCTGCTGACCGACTTGGGAGAGCGGCCTCGTTCTCTTCCAGTTCTGTACGTCGACAACAAGGCCGCCATTGCCTTGTGTCAGGAGCATAGACTGGAGCACAGAACGAAGCACATCGCTCTGCGTTAATTCCTTGCTTGAGAGCTGCAGCAGCGTGGCCAGCTTCGTCTTGCTTACGTGGCCACTCGGGCCAACACTGCTGATATATTCACCAAGGCGCTTCCGTCTGGTGATCATCAGCATTTCTGCACCTTGTTAGGCCTAGTGCCCACACTTCCTCACTTGCTGTAGGCTTTGTTTGTATTGTGATCTATATATATTCTTGCATGCTTGCTCTGGTAGGTAGAGATCACTGTGCTGTTGTTGTTACGTATATATCTCTGCATGTGAACTGGCCTTGTGGACTTTTGCTTGTGCTCAGACTGCGTGGTGACGTTGTGATCCACCCTGAGCTGTGTTTTGTTTCTTCGCTTGATTGGTCTTGTGACCGTTGCTTGTTCTGGCTGTCCCCCATTTCGCCTATGGGGGTGTGTCAAATTATATATATATGCTTGTTTAGGTTATCTAGGCTGTATGGGGGGTACACAAACTTTCTCGATACCCTAGTCTTGTACCCTATCCTTCACCTAATTCACTCATTCTTGCTTTAGCCATCTCAAGCAGCAGGGTATACGAGCTACTTTCCCAACCCCGTCTATGAAAGGAAATTCCAATTTAGATTCACAGTCCGACTCAAAGCACCCACTTGGAAATTCACGTGCAACGCACGGAAGTAAAAAAAGAAATTCAATCCGAGTCCGACTCAGGGCAAGTGCAGGGAAATACAATTTCAGAAGTCCCTGAGTCCGAATACCGAGTGCAACGCACAGAATTCAAAAACGATTTCTGATTCCGAGTTCAACTCATCGCAGCTGAATCGAAATAGCACTTCCCCCCTCCAAAAAAAATAAAAAAAATCCAGAAGTGGCCTAGTCAGTAGAAAGAGGCACTTCCGATAGATGAGGTCCTGAGATCGAACCCACCCCCGTGCAGGCGTGTTCTGCTAGCCCCGAGACGGGTTAGCACATGCTCATCTAGGAATGGATACCCCTAAAAAACTAGTTACGACTAGAAATATAACTTTAACCTTCCCCCCTCAAAACGCAACCACTCTTCTCCTCATCAGTTCAGCGAACCTCATCATCTCTCAAATCTCGTTTCCGCATACAGATCATTCCATCTTTGTGTTCGAAAGTCAAGGCATCACCACCGGCAGTAGAAGTGGCTAGCGGCAGCTCGTCACCTGAGAATCAGAGTCTGCTTCGCTCAACTCGCTACATTTATCGCGATTTGTCTTAGCTCGCAAGCGTGCGCATTCCACTTGCTTCAGAACTTCGGAAGGAGCCTTTGCGTCAGCTGCTTTCGCGGAAACGGAGCAGCCTTCCACAGTGTTATAGACGGGAGGTGAGGCATGGTGGATATAACGTCGATGTGATTCAATGTGCAGCCTTTGCCGAGCATTTAACAATCGTTGCTTCCGAAACGCGGCGCCATATGACATAACGTTTGTGCGAAGGTGTCGATTTTGAAACTTCTGATCCTTTTAGAAGGTTCCGCGATGTTCCCCTGTTCTGTTTTTACCAAACATGCTCCTCTTTGTTCCCCCCCATCTCCCCGACAGGCACCGTTTTCCCAAAACTGCGTCCGGACCGGATGGCCGCCGCCTCTCCACTCCGCAAGTTCACCCTTGCGGAGCTACATGCGGCGACGGGGGGGTTTCGGACTTACTGCGGGAAGGGGGGTTTGGGAAGGTGTACCGCGTGCGGATGGTGCTGCCTGATACTGGTTACGTCACAGGCGGCACCGGGATGAGGGAGTGTGAGGTGGCGGTGAAAGTGACCAAAGGAAAGCAACTCATCAATCAGGAGTTGAATGACTTCCAGGTGAGTGCTCTAAAGCAAAAATGTTTTGACCAGGTGAGTTCTTTGTGAGAGTAGCAGGTGAGTGCTCTGTAACCGTAGCATGTAACTGCTCTTTGAGAGTGGTAGGTGAGTGTTCTCTGTGAGAATGGCAGGTGAGTGCTTTGTGAGAGTAGCAGGTGAGTGTGGTGTGTGAAAATAGCAAGTGAGTGTGGTCTGTGAGAGTAGAAGGTGAGTGTGCTCTGTAAGAGTAGCAGGTGAGTGTGCTCTGTGAGAGTAGCAGGTGAGTGTGCTCTGTGAGAGTAGAAGGTGAGTGTGCTCTGTGAGAGTGGCAGGTGAGTGTGCTATGTGAGAGTGGCAGGTGAGTGTTCTCTGTGAGAGTGGCAGGAGAGTGTTCTCTGTGAGAGTGGCAGGTGAGTGTTCTCTGTGAGAGTGGCAGGAGAGTGTTCTCTGTGATAGTGGCATGTGAGTGTTCTCTGTGAGAGTGGCAGGTGAGTGTTCTCTGTGAGAGTAGCAGGTGAGTGTTCTCTGTGAGAGTAGCAGGTGAGTGTTCTCTGTGAGAGTGGCAGGTGAGTGTTCTCTATGAGAGTCGTTGCCAGTAATTACGTCGCATCCGACGGCGAGACGACTCAGAGGCGGGAGTGTGAGGTGGCGGTTGTGAAAAAATGAGGAAGGAATGAATGAACTAACAAGCAGGTGGGTACAAGTAGGAAAACCTAAAAATGTTGTACCCCATATTGTCTACCCCACTACAGCCTACACAGACTATAGCATATGAGTTTGACACACCACCATAGGCAAAGTGGGGGAGAACAAGAGGTCACAAGACCAGTCAAGCAAAACAAAGCAAGCTCAGGGTGGATCACAACGTCACCACACAATCCGAGCACAAGAACAAGGCCACAAGGCCAGTTCACATGCAAGATCATATATAAAGGTAAACAAACAAGTGCAGGTATAGACAAATCACAGTACAAGCAAGGTCAAGAAGTGAGCAAGTGAGGCCAAGTAGGCCCAAGACCTAGCATCGTACGGAAGCGTTGCTGATCACAAGGCGGAAGTGCCTTGGTAAAGATATAAGAGGTGTTGGCCTCAGAGGCCACGTAAGCAAGGCGCAGCTGACCACGCTGCTGCAGCTCACGAGCAAGGAAGTAGCGATGAGCCATGTGCTTCGTTCTGTGCTCCAGTCTGTGCTCCCGACACAAGGCCAGCATGGCCTTGTTGTCTACGTACAGAACTGGAGGAGAACGAGGCGGCTCTCCTAGGTCAGTTAGCAGGTAGGTGAGCCAGCGTAGCTCCTGTGCAGCCATGGCCCCCGCGTAGATCTCAGCCTCACAGCTGGAGCCGAAAACAGAAGACGAGCGGGTAGACCGCCACGAAACAGAGCCGGAGCCAAGGCTGAAGGTGTAACCCTGTGACGACCGCTGCGTAGCCTGGTCGTCAGCCCAAGAAGCGTCTGCGTGACCTGTGAGGACCACTGGACGTCGCCCTCCAAGCACTAGCCCCATGCCCGACGTACTGCACAAGTAGCGCAACACCCTCTTCGTTGCAGCCATGTGCTCTGGTCGGTGTCTCCCAGGAGCAACATAGCGTGCCAATATGCTAAGAGGGTATGCTAGGTCAGGTCGTGTGCATGTCATCAGGTACATGAGGCAACCAACAAGCTCTGGGTACGGGCCACTCGGCTCTATGGACTCATCCGAAGGCAGAGCTGAGAGCGAGTGGCGAGTAGACAGAGGAGTGGCCTGAGGCGAGGAGTACGTGAAGTCGAAGCGTTGAAGGACCTATTGCACCATGTGTGACTGAGTCAGGGTAATGGTGCGTTGTGCTCTGTCCCGGGTGATCTGCAAGCCAAGGTAGCTGCGCATTTCACCCAGGTCTGTGCACGTGTGTCTCTTCTGCAGCTCGGACTTCACGTGGGCGAGTCCAGCAGTGTCAGCTGTGGCAAAGGCCAAGTCGTCGACGTACACGAGGATGTAGAACGGCGGCAAAGAGGTGTCGGTGCGCAGAAACAGCGACGGGTCGGTAGTAGACGGAGCAAACCCAAGAGCCGCAAGTGTAGTCCTCAGTGTGTCGTGCCACTCACGGGGCGCCTGGCGGAGACCGTAGACTGGCCGCCGGAGGCTCCACTGGATACCAGGAGGAAACGACCCAGTGAAGCCAGGTGGGCGGCGCAGCCAGATCTCCTTGTGCAGGCTGCCCTGCAGGAAAGCTGTGCTGAAGTCAAGAGAGTGAAGCTCGTAGTCGCGCTGAGCGGCTATGTGCAGCAGTACCCGAAGAGTGGTCATCTTCGGGGTGGGAGAGAAGGTCTGAAAGTAGTCAACTCTCTGCCGGTGACTGAAGCCTCGAGCCACGTAGCGCGCCTTGAAGACAGGCGGAGAGCCCGGCGGCCGCTTCACCCTGAAAATCCACATGCCACTGACGATGTTCGCCCCAGGTGGGGGAACCTCGTCAACGTAGGTGCCTGTGGACTTCCAGGAAGCCATCTTTGCGTCCATGGCTGACTCCCACTGTGAGGAGTAGGGACCCTCGATCGCCTCAGCGTACGATCGAGGAGTCGGGATGTCTGGTGCATCCGTGTCTCCCTCAGGGGCAATCAGCGTGGACACGAGATGAGGCAAAGCAGTAGCAAAACACTGGAACTCCTCCTGCCTGTCCGCAAGGATGTCCGTGCTAGGAGCACACTCACCCCCAACGGACGGAGGACAGACAGACTCAGACTCAGCAAGAAGACTCGCGGCGTAGTCTAGACAACAGTGAGCAATGAAGTCGACAAGCTCAGCAACTAAGGCAGACGCAGCAGTGGACTCAAAAGAAGGGTCAGTGACAACAGTAGCCAAGAGACGCGTGACAGTAGGATTGGCAGTACGAAGAGAGTCAGACTCCGGGTCAGCAAGAGTAGGAAGAGAGGACTCTGGAGGAGACAACAACGGGACACGCAGAGGAGCAGTGGAAGGACGCAGTGCCATCTGGTGTGTGCCGGGGATCGCAGGAGGACGCGGACGCGGAGCACGACCACTAGTGCGAGCAGCAGGAACAGGCGACGCAGGACGAGACGCAGGCTCACGTCGCTCAGCAAGACCTCCAGAAGGACCAGTGTAGGGAGAAGGAGCAGGTAGGGGGGAGGCGGGCCGTAACTGTGACCGCGGCTGGACAGGCTGTGGACACTCTAAGGGAGGAGCAGGACCAGTAGAGGGCGGGAGACCAAGAACCTGCTCAAGGAGCGGAACGAAGTACGGCCTTGGCCGCGCAGCGCCTCCAGAACCAGCAGGGACAGCACCAGTACCCCGAGTGGCAGCACCAGCGCCAGCAACACCTCCACCTCCAACAGCGCCAACTCCAGCACCTTCAGACGCACCAGCTCCAGCAGCACCACCAGCGCCAACACCCCCAGCAGCTCCAGCTCCAGCAGATCCAGCAGCTCCAGCAGCACCAACTCCCGCAGGAGCGTCAGCTCCAGTACCGCCAGCAGCTCCAGGAAGACTAACTCCAGTAGCCCCAGAAGCAACCCCCGTCCCAGTAGCTCCAGTACTGCCAGTACGAGCACCTCCAAGACCAGCAGCAACAGTAGTACCTCCAGCTCCAGCAGCATGGCTCCAGCGGCGGGCAAACCACTCGCGCAGCTCCTGCAGAGAGAGTAGCTCCCGCCTCGACGAAGCAGACCCAGCGCCCCCAGGCTCCGCACCCCCAGGCTCCGCACCCCCAGGCTCAGCACCCCCAGACCCGGCACCCGCAGGCTCAGCACCCCTAGAATCAGAACTCCCAGGCTCTGCACCCCCACGCTCAGCACCCCCAGACCCAGCATCCGCAGGCTCAGCACCCCTAGCAGCACCAGAGTCAACAGCTACCTCGACAGGCTCGACTGTGTCTACCTCGGACACACCTGACGGGGCAGGACCCTGAGGGGGGAGAGGGTCTACCAGGGGGGGACCTGGCGCAAGGAAGAGCGGCGGCGGGGGGAGGGGCGCAGTGCGGTAGGGGAAGAGACGGTAGTAAGGCACCGACTCGTCAAAGGTGACGTCCTCGGAGGACAGAACACGGCGCGAGGTGGGGTGGTAAAACTGCCAATCAGGCGCCTCAGGGGGGAAGCCAAGGAAGACGCAGGGAACAGCACGGGGGGACAGCTTGTCCGCAAACAAGTCGCGGACAAACGCCCGAGATCCCCAGACCCGAAACGCAGACGCATCGCCAACCTTCCCTGTCCACTGCAAGGTGGGGGATGTCTCTGGCAAGGAGACCCTGGGCTGAAGGTTGAGCTGATGCGCTGTGTACTGAACCGCAAACGGCCACAGAAAATGGGGAGCAGCCGCATGGATTTTGGACGTACGAGCGACGTCCATGACCATGCCAATGCGGCGCTCACTAATCCCATTTTGCTGTGGAGAGGCCAGAAGCGTGTAGGTCTGGCGGATGCCCTGTGCACAACAGAAGGCTCCCAGACGGGCAGAGGAAAACTCCCCGCCTCTGTCAGAGTGCAGACGCAGAACAGGAAAGTCCGAGCCAAAACTCTCTCTGAGTTGGAGACGAGCTGCGCGGATCCAGTCAATCAACACCTCAGTGACATCACCCTTGCTGCGCAAGGGGAACACCGTGGTGTAACGCGAGTAGTCGTCAACCACCAACAGGAAGTAACGCTCGTGACCCTGGCCACGGACGCGGGCGGGGCCCCACACGTCCATGTGAAGAGTCTGCAGGGGAGCCTCTGTCGGAGGAAACTCGGAGGAGTGATGGGCGGCGCGCTGCCGCCCCTCGACGCAGGGAACGCAGGTAGGGGCAGGCCCCGGAGGGAGGGGAGGGAGGGACCGGGGGAGACCAGAGACAAGGACACGGGAGGCCATGCCTCGGAGACGAGGCAGGGAGGGGTGGCCAAGTCGGTGGTGCCAAAGGAGAGTCTGGTGGGACAGGAGACGACACGAGTAGGGAGCAGACTCAAGACCAGACCTGGACGCTGCAGCAGACACCTGACTCGACGCATCTACTTGACCAGACGCAGCAACCGGAGGAGACTCAGTAGTCAGTGTGTACAGGCTCGACCCCGGCCGACGGGTAAACGTGGCCAAGTGTCGGCCCGTCCGAGCACACATACAGTGGGTCACCCGCTGACTCACAGCAGTGAACAGGTCAACCCCCCGATCCTGTAGATCAGCACCACTCATCAAGTTCGTAGAGAACGAGGGGAGGTAAAGACCTGATAGGGTGCCAGAGGGGGCTGCCAGACACGGTAAGACAGTGGAGAACCTAGCAATGACAGGACCCCCAGAGGGGTCCGCCAGGGAGACCGCAACCGGCCGACTAAGTGGCGTAAGCGTGGTGCGGTCTCGAAAGAAGGAGCGGGAAGCACCCGAGTCAAGGGTGAAGGTGTGTAAGGCCTGCGCCGACGTGGTACCTGAGAGAGCAGACTCACCAGCACCTGGGGCAGCAGACGCACTAGCACCTAGAGCAGAAGCCTCACCAGCACCTAGAGCAGCAGCCTCAATGCCCGGGTCAGGCGGAACACACAGGTAACAGTCACCCTCATCACTAGTAGACACAGCATATCTGGCAGCAAGAATAGCATCAGAGTCAAGATCAAAGATAGCAACCCCCGCCCTAGACAGCTCTCCCCAGCGAGGGATCTCAGTGGCGACAGGGAACTGGTGACGCCAAGCATCCGTCAGGCGGCCGAAGTAGCACTGGGTGGAGTGCGAGCCCCCGCACTGCTCACCAGCGCGGTCGCCGGTACGGAGGATGTAGGTGCAGGGATCAGTACCCCCACCTCGTTGATGCCCAGCGTACCACTCACGAAGCTGCTGGGGGGACGGGGTCTCACGAGTGCGCTGCTGCTGCTGGCGCTAACCACCACCGGAGCCACTCCTCTGTGCAGAGCCGCGACCAGCTCCACCGCCGCCGCCACCGCCGCCACCGCCTCCGCCACCTCCGCCGCCTCCGCTCCCACCGCCACCACCGCCGCCTCCTCCGCCTCCACTGCTGCCACCGACAGCTCCACCCCCGCCACCACTCCCACCACCACCCCCACCCCCTCCATTGCCTCCACCGCCACCTCCATCGCCCCCGCCAGCCCCTCCAGCGCCCTTGCCCCCCTTGCCCTTGCCTGTGCGGCGTCTCCCGCTAGGGGCAGACGCAGCGCCGACCGACTCGAAACCAACGAGGTCGGCCGCAGCAGCAGAAGAAACGGAGGGCAAGAGTGGGGAGGGGGAACACCACTCAAAGACGGGGGTACGAGGGTCACCACGAGAGGCTCCTAGAGCGACTATGCTCTTCTCTGTTGCCAGGAGGAGTTCCTCGAGGAGGCCAATGGTGAGTGTGGTGGGGCAAACTGAGAGGAAGTGGTCCCTGACTAAGCGAAGGGAGTCAGGGAGTCGGGTGACTATGTAGTAGAGGGTGATGTACATGGGGGGAGGGTTCTTGGCACAGAACTCAGCAGGAAGTGCAGCGCGGTAGCGAGTGTCACTAGTGCGAAGGTGCGTAATGAGGTCAGCGACTGTGGGAAAGGCAACAAGGTCAGGGAACAGGTACGGCAGCATGAGGCGGCTAAGAGCAGCAGTGGCAGGGGAAGAGAAGCGTGCAACTACAGCGTCGTACAAGGTCTAAGCACTCTTGTACTGACTAAAGTGCGCACGCTCAGCAGTCGGTAAGTGGCGACGCACAGCAAGACGGGCAGCAGCATCGCATGTGGCCCACTGTGAGCGAACAGTGCTGTCAGCAGTAGCAGGCGGGGCAGGAGAGGCACCAGGGGTGAGATCAAACAGGGAGAGTCCGTCTGCCCTATCGCATTGTAGGAAGAGCTGGAGGTCATCGACCCAGACCTTAAAGTCAACAGCACGACCCTCAGCATCAAAGGTAAGGACACTGGGGGTAGCCATGACAGCAGTGGTCTAACAGGGAGTTGTGAAGATATCGAGTAGAAAGTTTAGGAGAAGAAAGAGTGGTTGCACTAGCAAGCAGTTGAGTACATATAGGAAACCCTAAATTGGGTTGTACTCGCTATGGAGTACCCCACTGCAGGCTAGACAAATACAACATTCTGACACACCCCCATAGCCAAGGTGGGGTGTAATCAGCACAACAAGCAGGAGTTTATAGTTCACAAATATAAGCAAAGCAAGAGGCTATCACAGAGGGCAAGTGAGGAGGAGGAGAGACTGTGGGGGAAAGAAGATGGCGGGTGGCAGCTGAAGCTGCTGGCACACTGCGCAACTGGAGCAACTGGCACACGGGCAACTGGAGCAACTGGCACAGTGGCAACTAGAGCAACTGGCACACGAGCAACTGGAGTAACGGGCTGCGCGGCTAGACGAGCGGCAGGAGCAACTGACCCACTGGCGACTGGAGCAACGGGCTCACGGGTGACTGGAGCGACGGGCTCACGGGCGACTAGAGCGACGGGCTCACGGACGACTGGTGCAACGGTCTCACGGGCGACTGGAGCTGCTGGCTTCACGGCGGCCACCCCCTTCAACTTCCCCTAACAGTCCACACCCCCTTCTCACACACCCCTTGCTGCACCCCTTGCTTCACTCCCACGACACCCCCCTTAAACCCTAAACCCTAGGCTCCCACACACCCACCCCCCTCAGCGGCAGCTGCAGCAGCGGGAGACTAGGGAGGAGGAGGACCAAGGGGAATAACGCACAACCGACACCCCCACAACCGCCACCCCCATACTCCTCACCCCCAAACCCTAAAACGGGTGGGATAGGAGCAGGAGCGCGGGGGACGGCGAGGGGGGGACGGCTCGCGACCCCCAGGGCGCCAAAACGGACGGGCGGGACGGGGGGAGGGGGGTGGCGCACGCGGCTCCCTAGGGCGCCGCGACGGACGGGCGGGGGGGGGCGCGCGCGCGGCTCACAAGGGCGCCGCGGCGGACGGGCGGGGCGCGCGCGGGCTCCCCAGGGCGCCGCGACGAACGGGCGGGGGCCGCGCGTGCTCCCCAGGGCGCCGCGAAGAGCAAAGTGGGGGCCGCGCGTGCTCCCCAGGGCCTCGCGACGGACGGGCGGGGCGCTCGCGGTCTCCCCAGGGCGCCACGACGAACAGGCGGGGCACGCGCGGGCTCCCCAGGGCAGGAAACCGCCGCGCCTCAGGGCGCACGGCGGGCACAAAATGTCAGAATCCCAACCACTAGACCATTGGGATAAAAGGGCTTGTTTGTATAGCGGGTGAGTGCGCCCATAACCCCCCAAGCCGACGTGCCTGTAACCCTTCCCTAGGATCAATCGGGGATCACCAGTGGACTTCTGACACCCCCCCGCACTGGGATGCCCGAAGTGCACACACCGGGATTCGAACCCGAGACCTTTGCTCTGATACCATGTCAGAATCCCAACCACTAGATTATTGGGATAAAAGGGCTTGTTTGTATAGCGGGTGAGTGCGCCCATAACCCCCCAAGCCGACGTGCCTGTAACCCTTCCCTAGGATTAATCGGGGATCACCAGTGGACTTCTGACAGAAAATTGCCGCGCGCCCCGAGCGCACGGCGGACAGAAAACCCTAAAAAAAAATCGCCGGCAGGAAGAAGGCATCGCACGCCACGGGGCGTGGAACAGATAGAGTAGCAGCGAAAGCAGTTAGGTGGGCCCACAGGCCAAGGAAAGACAGGCTCTGATACCATGTGAAGATAGCGAGTAGAAAGTTTAGGAGAAGAAAGAGTGGTTGCACTAGCAAGCAGTTGAGTACATATAGGAAACCCTAAATTGGGCTGTACTCGCTATGGAGTACCCCACTGCAGGCTAGACAAATACAACATTCTGACAGGAGTGCGCGCCGGTAGGAACAGTAGCGGCTCGACGGCGGCTCGGCAGCTGGGCGGCTCGGCTGCTGGGCGGCTCGGCTGCTGGGCGGCTCGGCTGTTGGGCGGCTCGGCTGCAGGGCGGCTCGGCTGCTGGGCGGCTCGGCTGCTGGGCACCACGGCTGCTGAGCGGCTCGGCGGCTCGGCGGCTCGGCGGCTCGGTGGTTCGGCCGCTTGGTAGCTGAAGGGACCGTGAAGGGCGGCGATGGGGCCGCTAGGGGCGGCGACGGGGCCGATTGGGGCGGCGACGGGGCCGCTAGGGGCGGCGACGGGGCGGCAAAGGGGCCGCGAGGGGCCTCAAAGGGCGGCGACAGGGCCGCTAGGGGCGGCGACGGGGTCGCGAAGGGGCCGCGAGGGGCCTCGAAGGGCGGCGACGGGGCCGGTAGGAGCGGGGACGGGGCCGCTAGAGGCGGCGACGGTGCCGATAGGGGCGGCGACGGGGCCGATAGGGGCGGCGACGGGGCCGCTAGGGGCGGCGACGGGACCGCAAAGGGGCCGAGAGGGGCCTCGAAGGGCGGCGACGGGGCCGTTAGGGGCGGCGACGAGGCCGCAAAGGGGCCGCGAGGGGCCTAGAGGGGGCGGCGACGGGGCCGCAAGGGACGGCGACAGGGCCGTAAGGGGTGGCGACGGGGCCGCTAAGGGTGGCGCGAGGGGGGCCGTGAGAGGCGACGTGAGGGCGGCCAATGGGGCGCGCCTCGGGCAAGGGCGACTCGCGCTCCGGTTAGGAAAAAAAAAAAATTCAGTGGTGGGCCCTGAGAAGTGTTCCCACTAGGGAACCTGCTCTGATACCATGTGAAAAAATGAGGAAGGAATGAATGAACTAGCAAGCAGGTGGGTACAAGTAGGAAAACCTAAAAGTGTTGTACCCCATATTGTCTACCCCACTACAGCCTACACAGACTATAGCATATGCGTTTGACAGAGGTCAAATTGGCACGAAATCAATTCATGGCTCAAGAACTGATGTGCTTTAAGCCGAGTTTAAGGCACAAAGGCTTCAAGGCGACCTTTCTTTGCACATTTTTCATCCATTCTTACACTCTTTTGCGTGCCTGTTCACTTCCATCTCCCTCGTACCTGTCCGTGTTTTCAGGCTGAGGTGGCAGCCATGATTTCAGCAATGAATCATCCCAATCTTCTGAGGCTGGAAGGCATGGGGATCGACTCAAAACAAAGGCCGGTTCTCGTGCATGAGCTGATTCATGGAGGCGACGTCAAGAATCTTCTAACACGAGGTGAGAAGAGTCCCCTTTTCTCACCGCTTCATGTATCTTACCCCTCCTCTTCTCGTGTATGAGCTGATTCCTGGAGGCGACGTCAAGAGTCTTCTCCAATGAGGTGAGATGAAATTCCTTCTCTCGCCGTACTACCTCGTTTGTTTGATACCTTTTGAAAGGGAGAGGGGGAGGAGGGGGGGGGGTATGTTTGGACGATTCTCGTGTATGATCTGATACCTTTGTGCAACGCCATGTATTTTCTCACATGAGAGAAATATTCCCTCAACCCTTCCACCCCCGTCCCTCTCCACACAAATCTCTCTCCCATATTCTTCTTCGCTTGTTTTCTCTCCTCTCTCTTTGCAATTGGCCTAAATGTGATGTTATGACCATGCCTTCACACGTCAGCTGCTATCAGCAGCATTGCTACACTCCCATGGTTTCTCAACACGTGATCTCTGATTCGTTTTGCTGCAACCCTCTTTCAAATCAGTTCCTTCAGTAACTCACCCTCTCCTTACTATTTCCCCGACTCCACTGTGAAAGAACAAGGAATGATTGCATTGAGCAGCATGAGGAGTACAAGTAGGAAACCCTAAAGTGTTGTACCCCATATGAGCTACCCCACTACAGCCTACATAGACTATAGCATATAAGTTTGACACACCCCCATAGGCAAGTGGGGGAGAACAAGAGGTCACAAGACCAGTCAAGAGAAGCAAGGCAAGCTCAGGGTGGATCACGACGTCACCACACAATCTGAGAACAAGCACAAGGCCACAAGGACAGTTCACAAGCAGAGTTATATATCAAGATGAACAAACAAGGCAGCGATCTCAACCTAGCAAGGGTAAGCATGCAAGTGCAGGTATATATAGATCACAGTACATGCAAAGTCAAGAAGTGAACAAGTGAGGCCAGGTAGGCACAAGACCTAGCATCGTACAAAAGCGCTGATGATCACAAGGCGGAAGTGCCTTGGTAAAGACATCAGCAGTGTTGGCCTCAGAGGCCACGTAAGCAAGGCGCAGCTGACCACGC